GCTAGAGTTTTCTAATTCATCTCCATGGCCAGCGTCCCAGATCCTGACTGTACCATCACCGTGAGCCGTTTGAATGATGTTTCGAGCTTCATATCTTCGTAAATGTTTTACTGCCTCTGCGCCTCCCTTCAGAAGCTGAGGACCAATAGATCGAGTTTCTGTCATACCAAGCCATCGTCCCCGATCCACAGCAGATACTGCCATGAAATTGACAAAAGGATGAACAAGTGTGAGAGAAGGATGGAGTTGGTTGGTGGGAGAGATAGGATGGCCACTGGGGAAACTCAATGTAACTAGCTCGCCAGATGTAAGAAGTGCAATGATGGCAATAGGGTCTTGCGCACCGGCAAAATGTGGAGAATTACGGGGGATAAGACAGAAATCCGCGATATCTGCACCAGTGGGAATTGATAGGAATTGATTCCGTTTTGTTGCATTAAAGTGTTCAGTCAAGACTGGCCAGGTTGAAGTCGCATAAACTGGGGTTACTCCCAACTCCATAAACATCATACCTTTGTGAGGCATCGTGGTGGGAAGACCTCCAGCTATAAGTAGACCAGTGTCATCAGGGTTTTCCTTGCAACACCAAGCTATTTTTGCGAATTCTTCCTTTCGAACGAAGGTGGCCCCGGGATTTCTAGGTGGTTGAGAGCCAGGTACATTTACATGTGTATCCCCTAAAGTTCGAGCCATCACAATTCGTCCATCTTTAGGATCCCAAAATACTAGGCTGGTATCATCATGAGCTGTAGCAATGAATGTTCCTGTTGGATGCCATAGAGCTTGCGTAAGACGTGGGTGTCTCGACACATTCTTTCCCATTGGATCTCCATTCCCACCAGGAGCTCCAGCTGGGACTTCATACTGGAAATATTTGATAGGTTTGTTCTGTTTGAACGAGTATATGACCGCTCCCTCGGTATATCCTATCAATAATTGACCAATATCTCTCGGGTGTAATTGTAAAGACACACAAGCTAACAACCTCGATCGCGGATTCTTTTCGCGCCAGAAATTTGGAAGTCGTAGAGGTGCAAGCTTTTCCCTATCCAAATCGTAGCATATGATATCTCCAGTCTGTAATCCGATCAAACACCAATCCAACATGGGATCTGTCACAATTGTTGTCACTACTCCTGGCGGAGAATAAGCCGCCAACTTCTTTGCCGTCGCTAGATCCCATACTATCACTTCGTTCTTCGAATCAACGCTGATAAGTCTGTCGGCGCAAAACTGTAAAGTTTTAACTGATGCTCGGCGGGGTAAAGTCAGCTTAGCCTGCACTCTCTTCTGGCCAAAGATGTAAATTTGTCCGCTTCCAAAGGTTGTCTCGTTCGTTCCCACTGCAAGTAAAGATTGTACTGGATCAAATGCGAGAGATCTAGCATGTCCCGAAGTTAGTTGAATCCCATGATTATACCTAATATGGTGGAGATCCGAACATACCCTATTTGAGAATTGATACCGAAACGATCCACATCATCCGGCGCAAACAGATCTGGCAGGATACCTGCGGACAGATCATTTTGTATACCTGCTTGTCTTCCACGTAAAAAACCTGCCATTTTGTCTGACAGTTGTGGAATTTTGAGAATGTTGTTGGTATTATATTATATTTGTTGTTGGTTAACGTCAACCAGAAGGATTACTCTTAATTTTGGTGGAATGCTTGAACCCTTGAAATTGCTTTATTTGCGTCATGATCATCTGAAGTAACCTACGTGGTATTTCTTGGCTACCTGCAATAAATGATTTGATATTCAGGGATTTGATTTGTTTGTTGCACAATGAATAGAAATCAATTTCACAATCAAATATTATATCTTCAAAGGGTTTGATATGTCTGGTACGGTCCCACGGTGTCATGTCATATGTATCAAATCATTCTTATGATTGTCCTTATCATGATCCAAGGTGGACGCATGCGCTATGAAGGAAGCACGCTGTGACATACTGTAGTATATAAAACTACCGGATAGCTACTGTACAAATATTGCTTGTCGCGCCGCCCAAGTTACTCACTTGAAGAAGAAGCTCAGAATACATGGAATGGAGCTCTTCACAAGTATAATAAGTAGTATATAAAATCTCCACTCAGTCATCATTGTACAATGTAAACCTCGGCGTGTCTCGTATGTTCCTCGGGAACAAGATACATTCATGGTCGAGGTTGCCCTGGCTCCCATCCCCAAATCTCCCAATATCCATGCCAAGCGCTTCGTATATCTGCATCTCTTTTCTGTAACCTTAACACGCCTTCTCTCATTAGAGCCGGAAGCTCCATCTCTAATTCTTCTCGCCGTACTCCTGCCTTGATTAATTCTTGTGTCAAGTCGATTTGTTTTTTGATCTGCGCGACAGGATTTGTATAATATGGTGGTGGAAGTATGGCATCAGCGGCTCGCTTCTCTGCTGCTGCTTGATCGCAATCTTTGCAGCGGGGTAGCGTGCGATCACAATCGAGGGAGGCCCTGATGCGAGGGAATTTGAGAGCGATATGTGCGAACGTCGGAGGGAGTACGAGAGGACGGTCGCAAGCTGGACATGCCGACATATTGTTATGCAGATGAGTCGCGAAAGAAAATAGGCTCGACAGTGACTATAGGTGAGTGATCCAAGAGCAATTGAGATGTAAAGCAAATATTCATGATTGAAAGATTGATTTGAAATCTTCTTGACAGTTCAATTGTTACCTTCTTTACCTTGGGTCGAACAAAGAGCTCATCTCGATTATGGTTCTGAATCTGGCAGCCAAAGTGGAAAAATTTCCATTTTGCCAGCTGCAAACATCCTTTGTCTGTCTCTGGATGGTTGAAAGCGATCGAATCGAAACGACCACAGCGAACAAGAAAAAGTCTATCGCTTGCAAATCACAAAAAACATGTCGCCATGCTAACACAATGCCATTGGCCATCGGTTTGAAAGCAATAAAGAAATAACAATAGTTGTGGTAAATGTCCCGTTTTTTATATTTCTCCATGACCCAACGCATTCTCATGCCATAGGATGGAGGGTAAGTAAACGAAAAGGTTCTCTTCTATCCTTCAATTTCCCCTCCAAGATCCCGCCATTGAAAGACATAAGACCAGAGTGAATATTGAGGAATCAGTTTTTAGTTTTGTGAAGAGAAGAAGAAGAAGAGGAACTCAATATTGAGATGAACTTCTCTTGTACTCGAAATTTTCGAATTTTCTAATCATGTGATCTAAGCGACACTGGCGCAACGCTAAGAGGCTCGTCTTGTAGTCTGTGCCCAGATACTGATCATGTGATGTTGTCGATCTATCTCGCTATTGGCTCATTTTCTTCGAATTCTCATTGGACAACCCATCTTAGCCTGCAGCTATGACTACCCAGTCCAGCCCTTACTAAACACGTTAGCGCTACGGCGGGGTTGTATTTTTGATTTCGCCCCGCACTAAAATCAAATCGACATCTTCTGAATGGATTTATAAAAGTACAATCAGGCCCATCCTTTTTACCTGACATCACAAACATAAAAAGCTCACCAAACTTTTGATACATCACAAACTCTCGACATTTCGACTCGAACAAATTTCAATTAAACAATTATCTTTTGGTTATCTCGATAATAATTTATCTTAACAAGATGGCACCAGGAGGACCAGCAGCCGGACGTGGCAGAGGTGGAAAGTTCAAGAAGTTCACTCGTGGAGGTAAGAAGATTCTACTGTCAAAAATGCACCATTGCAAATATTAAAACATGCTTCTCAATAGGTGGTAAGCACTTCTCTCGTGATCTCCGACCTCTCGATGCCAACGGAGACGAAATTCGCGAAAGGAATGCCAATGATTCATCCTCCGAGGAAGAAGAAGAATCCGAGGAGGAATCTTCTGAGGAAGAAGAGGAGAAGCCAGAGATGACCCGTGAGCAACGTCGAGCTGCCGCCAAGGCCAAGAAGGAGGCTGCTATCAAGAAGAAGAACCAGAAGGTCGCACAAGTTGGAGATCTTCCAACCGATAGCGAAGAGGATAGTGAGGATGATGACATGCCCGCCAACCCCAACCATAGCAAGGCTGCCAGAAATCAAGCCAAAGCTCCACCAAAGACTGTCGATGAAGTTGCGGGAGATGTTGCCAAGATGAGCGTCAGCAAGAAGCCTCAAGAATTGAGTCGCAAGGAGAGAGAGGCAATCGAGGCACAAAAGAAGAGAGAAGCTTATCAGAGGTTACATCTTGCTGGAAAAACTGATGAGGCTCAAGCCGATCTTGCAAGATTGGCAAAGGTCAGAGAGGAGAGACGTTTGGCAGCAGAGCGCAAGGCTGTAGGTTCTATCCATATCATTTTGCCTATTTAAATCATACTAACTTTAAGCAGGCTGAAGAAGAAGAGCGCAAGGAACAGGAGCAAGCAAAGTCAGAGCAATTGGCACGGGAACAAAGAAGAAGAGAGGCTGCGATGGGACCTGCTGCCAGAGGAAAGAAAGGAAAGAAATGAGGGGTTTTCTGTGGGAACCAGATCTAGTATTCTGTTTTATGGTAAATTGCTTCTAGAATAAATATCCAGGCATATACATAACTCTCGGCGTGGCGTTATGCATTACCCTATTTGTATTGCTTGTTTAGTATCAAATCTATACAGCATTACATCCTTTTAATCTCTGTTCGTCCATTCGAATCACCTTGCTGTGTATTATGTTATGTCCAGGTGATAACAATACCTCGCAGCTTACGCCTGGATATCGTCTGATGTAGAAGAGTTTGCTGTCGCTACTAGTCTGAACTCTACTTCAATTAACAATCTCAATTTGATATCAGATCCAAGGTTGAAATGTCATAATATTATAATCTATACGAACCAATAATCATTTTAACACAATAAAACTAGCATCTAGGAACTTAAAAGCGCAAGTCATGCTTTCCCCAAACCCAAAATCATCATTCATTCCAGCCCCACTACATCTCCCCCTTTTCACATCCCGCCCTCACACCTCACAAATAAAAATCCAAACAATATCACTTCAAACAACAAATTCCTCGAAGGCATGGCGCAGAGGTAGCGTATCTGATTCCAGCTTTTAGAATCTAGATTCCAGATGGTCCTGGGTTCGAATCCCAGTGTCTTCCTTCCCTTGAATTCCTTTTTTTGGCACTTTCCTTGCCTCTTTTGAGTAATAGTTGAAGCTTGACTTGTTATTTTGGGAATGGAGAGCCACTATTCATGATACGAGAAATTCAGACGAAGTTTTGTTTATTTGTTTGCTTATTTTGGAGGTAGGAAGGTGAAGTTCTCATGTGGCACGAGGGTTTGTTTGCCTTTTTTTTCGGGTGGGACGGGTCATGGAGGTGAGGCTGGTGGAAGCACAAAGATGAATCACTCCTTCTTGTTCATTCATTCTTTTTTTCATTGAGATTCATGACAGATCTTCATACAGTCGAGCCAAAATCTATCATCTATAATGGCTTCTAGAACATTCACATTACCGGGATCACATTTCACAATGCGTTCGTTTTGATATGGATTGGTCGGGTGAGACACTTTTCCCTTATCTAGCATCGATTCAAACTCTCTAACATTTTCCTGCGCCGCTGCATACTAAACATAATCTCGCTTTCCCAGAGAACGATATCATTCCGTACAAAATCGCTCAAGTTACATGTTTCTGGTGACCATCCTCCCTTTCTTTCGGAAAATGGCCGCATCGCAGATCGAAAGCTGTTGTCGGTCTTGGCTGCATGATAATTGATTGCGCCTGGTCTTCGGTTTTAGCTACTATTGCCTGAAATGATGTCTCTTTCTTACGTGTTCCTCCATCTTTTCTCGTTGTCCGGTTGTATATGAACAACCTGTTATCGAGTATATGCATGGGGTTTTTGGGCAATGAAGAGATCACTGGTGAAGGATGAGATCGGCTAGTCGGGCAAATGTTGAGGGATAGTCTGGGGGTGGGGTGGGACAATGAATCCGATTACTGTCACCGGTGCCGCGACACTTGGGTCGCTTCTAAAGTTGCATCAAGCTTGGATTGAGGGAGGTTTCGGAGTGGGGCTTTCTGATGGCATTATTACCGCAGGGGAAGACATTAGTGGAAGAGTTGACGGGAAACTTTATACCCTTCGTGGATGGCTGAAAGCCAGGCCCGAATTCGAAAGCGTGCATATCGTTTCCGGTGTAGGATAAGTCAAGATAAGCAGGCAAATCTTGGAAGCCGAAATCGAAGAGAGACACGTTGCTTCCAACAAAAGTGGCAGTTGGGGAAGAGTATACATTTAGGTTGATACTATAAAGAGGCTCCTGATAAATTGGCCCATCACAGACTAACAGTGCAATCTGCGAGCAGAAGATCACATCACCAGCAAATAGGCTATCCTCATCATCAAAACCTGCGGCAAAAGAGGGAATAGAGGACTTTTGAGGAAGTGAGGAGAGCTCAACGCAACCTGCGAATGGATGTAAGAAAATCCAATAAAATTCGGAACCAAAACACACAGCTTTTGGATATACAGACTCCACCACTGGAGTAGGAGGTATTTATACATGCCAGACGGGAACTCATGGTGGTCCACAATCAGTGGTCATTCTCCAAGTTTATGAAGTGCTATAATGGATATGAGATCATACGAATGGCTCAAGTGTCGGTATTTTTTGAATGGATCCACGAATTGTGTCGCGTTGGTTTATGCTCAGATTTTGGCCCCCAAATTTGTCGTCTTCCAGGTTATAATGGAATAGACTACTTCCTGCTCGATAATGACTTCCGCGTTTATATTTCGTGGTCCTTGATACCACGACATAGATATAATTATGTCTGCACTTTTTTTGGCGATCATTTATACGGTTCAGTATATACCCTTGCCATCATCAATCCTGGGGCGTTATGTTGGCCAATCAAAAAATCTCTTCATGTGGCCTCATATGGTTACATAGCATGCACCAAGGTTGCAATTGCTCTTCCAGCCTTCTTCAGGACCTCCATTGTTTATCTATATGACAAACGATCTCTACTCGACTCGGTTTTTTTGGTGTAACTGGATTTCTCTTTCTCTGGTTAATCTTATTATCCCCTTCAACCTCGCGAAAGACATCACAACTCTTGAAATCTCATTATTCTGACTCCATCGGCAGCTTAGTGCCTCTTTTCCCGATACTACTTGGTACTGAAAGCCAGCAACCACTCTATCTGAAAACCAAATCTCGAGGAGTCGGCAGCTGGCCTGGTACTTGTCACCTTCGAACTCTAACAGCGATAACCATCGACAGCCTCCATCGGGTCAAGAGAAGCGGCACAAAGCTACACACTCCTTCCTACATTCCCTTAAATCAAATCCTGTCCATATTTCGACTGGTGGAAAAGTCACTTAAAGAGACTCTTCACCCGATATACAAAAAAATAGCCGGTAAGCGCATTTAACTACAAATTTGCATGCCCTTAACATCTACTTTCTAGTTGCCAACAAATGCAGATATGAATGTTCCATGTAATCTCGAATTTTATTGACAAAAAAGCAGACATAGCAGACCAAATATCTGCCCTATCAAACTTCGGTGCTGGCTATATTCTCTGCCCTGATGATACGCTCTGTCTTCAGTATAGAGTCGAGTCCGCACTTAGAAAAGAGAATTATTACCATTGAATATTCCACCTCATATTCGAGATGCGAAAAGACGACAACTGAGCGAACCTCTCGAAGCAGACGACTTTAGCAACTTTGCTTTCAAATACCTGCTAGGTCTACAGAAAGGGATGGAAGATGTTATCCAGAAATTACTAGAGAAAGCGTTGACTACTCAGACTAGGTAGCTTTGCTGTAAACCTTTCTTCAGCTTCGCCTCCTATTGCATATTTTCACCTCGCTTTTCACACGATAATCTCTAGCCACCACACCCTATTAGGGTCTTTGAGCACTCTAAAAAACGACCTTCTTTAAATGCGCATCTCAGCTCGGAACCACTCGCTATCTAGTTCTTAATGACTTTCATCTTTTAAGGACTAGTTATACAATTACAAGACGGGTTGCTCTGCAACTTTCTTGGTATGGAGTACACTAGCAGGAGCTCGGCTTTTAGTGAAGGAGTTACTAAGATTGCTTTGTGTGTATCTTGTAAACCAGAACGGCGACTTGAAATTAAAGTAAAGCCTATCGACCTAACATCTTTTGGTAGGTATTATCAACACATTACAGAACAAGTCACTTTCGGCGATTGAATGGGAGTCTTGCCATCCCTTCTGAGGCATGAAGTGTCATAGAGCCCTCATTTTACAATGACATGACAGACTTCACGGTGGCTGTCTGCTGAGGGAAAGGCGGAATATTTTGCGAGTGTGCAAAAGGAGACTCCGAGCACGTTGACAAACCAACCGAGCCGGCATACCCGAGGAATTGCCGAATTGTAACATTTTCCGGCGGACCATATGCACAAATCCCAGAAAATCTTGGCAGAGATTGGATTCTGCGCTGTCATACCGAGTAGTTGGATCTTCACAATCACAAACCTTGTTATATCGATAAGAATTCACCGCCACTTTTGCATTTGAAGATGGGACCCATGGGAGACTCCGATTGCTCAATTGGCATGAAAAGTATCCAGAGATGCATACGGACAAATGCCAACTCATATTCCCGATCCAATGACATATCACGATTCATTGAGCGGGTCATGAAAACATTCCCTCTGAGGACGAAGCCTTACGGCTCTACTGGGGCACAGGTAAGCAGCCGATGAGGGTGAATGGTAAGGGCTCGGTCTTGAAATTTATCGGTCCAGCCATTTCTCTTTCTTTCTCATATTCTGCTACACAATCACGTCAAACGGTGCTCGAAAGAAATGTCGAATATCAGCACTGAGGAATTATTGAAGCGGCTTGATGATCAACATCAAGCTTACCTCGAGACATTCAAGCTGGTTCACGATGCTTTGAATAATGGCGTCACAAACACGAGTACCGGTCCTGTCAGTGCACCACAAAGCCCTGGTTCGATCCGAACATTTACAAAACGACGAAGAAGATCTACGAAAGACGACTGCGATATCCCAGAAATACGACCTTCAACACTTCACAGCTCTGTCTTGTCAGGGGATAGTGACGATAGCGATGAGGATGACGATTTATATGTTCAAACACCCCTCGCCCCATTTACATATAGCGAAGAACAGTTACGACAACATTTCAGAACTTATAATTTCACGGATGCTGGACATGTAATACTGGAAACCGTGATCACGAAGAATGGGCGACTTCTAGATCCTGTTTTGTTCCCAGAGTATTATAGAGCCGATAGATCTCATAACTCTCATTATTCTGTGTTTGATGTTGGAAAAGATGGAGCTCCTCTATCGAGACGAGATGTCGTTAAACCAGGTACCACCAAGATTGATTCCGCAATATGGCAAACGGTTAAGGTGAGCCAAGGTATCTACCACAGCATGATAATCATAACTAAGATTTTGAGTGAAGGAATTGAATAGCGACCCCGAATCACTTCGACCGGCTGTTGGTCGAATAACGTGAGTCTCGGTGCCTCTCCTATACCGAGCATATCTTCAACTGACTGACATGTATAAAGAATTGTTCGAGAGCCATCTCCCGTTATATTAGGGGCTTTACATCTCACCTTGAACAAGACTTTCGACATGGATGAAATATTCAATTATCTAGTTTCTGACGAGATCACATCGGTATGTTTAAACTTTAACGGATTTATTCTCTTGCTTACGTTTTAGGCCAATTTAATACGACGCCCGTTCTTGGCCGACAGCCGCCAACAAAAGTCCTTTGTATTTAGCTTCGAATATTGGACAATCGTGGGAGAGGAATGTCAACCAATGGCTTGGCAACTGGCTGATAAAACACCGCCTACTTCAAAAGACCATATCCCAATATCTAGATGCAACTCCATAGTGGCTCTGTCTTTATCTGGCGATCCAGTCCGGAAATTAAGAAACCCCACTAGACGTGCTGGAACAGATTATGGATATGTGTATGATCCATGGGCAGCATGGCAAGTTCTCAATATACAGTGCTACCCCGATCATCGCCATACTATGGATGTTCATGATTCTACAAAGCATTATGTCAATGGACCCGAGGCTTTTCTTCATACTCTACTCTCCGAATTTAAGGACG